ACAAGTAAAGACGGAACATTTTCTTGCCCTTCTGCTCTCTTTGGTCATTTTCAATGTGTGTGCACATGTGTGTGCCTGTATATGAAGAAGGTCAGAGGTCAACCTTCCTCAGCGGCTTTCCACTTTATCTTTTGAGATGTGGTCGCTCACGGAACCTGAAGCTCATTGATCCAGTTAGACAGGTTGACCAGTAAGCCCCAAGGGATCCACCCCATTTGTCCAGGGGTGACTTAACATACAGCATCGTACACAGTATTTACATGGGTGCTGGGGATCCAAACCTCAGTTCTCCATGCTTGCAAAGCAAGCACTTTTCTGACTGAGACACCTCACAGTCCTTTCTACAGAAATATTTTTCTTGTATGTTGTGAGTGTTTATCTATGTGTATATAGGTGTGCAGGATGTGTGCCTAGTGCCTGCAGAAGCGGGAAGAGGGCACTGGATCCCTTGGAAGAGGAGTAGAGTAACAGAGAGTTGTGAAATTCAGTGTAGATTCTGGAAACTAAACCTTGGTCTTCTGCAAGAACAACCCTCTTTGTGATCAACCTCCTTGTTTTTTTTAAGACATCTTCTTGCTGTATAGCCTAGGCTAGCCTTGAACTATAAATCCTTCTGCCTTAACCTCTCTAGTGTTAGGATGGTGTACCGTGATTAATAGAAACCCAGAGACAGATAACTGGGTTCAACCTGAAGGTCAGAAAAGCAAAACGGCAAAAATACTGGCTCTTATCTCTACCTCAATCCGGAATGGTGATCCTGACTCCAGGAATCTCAGAATGAAGCTGTGTCTGAGAGCTGTCTCCTCCCATTTTATATTCCTCTCTAGTGCCGAGATTAAAGGTGTGCATCTCTACCACCCGGTTTCTATGGCAAACTAGTGTGGCTACTGGGATTAAAGGTTGCCTGGTTTGTAGAACTGACTAGGACAGTTGTTTTACTCTCTGATCTTCAGGCAAGCTTTATTTATTAAAATACAAATGAAATATCGCTACAGGATGGCAGTCACATGTCTCCATGCCTGGCTCCTTTTTTGCTTTTTAAAAATCGTTTGCAGAGATGTGACTGTAAAACCACCACCGCCAAACCTGGGGCCTGTTTACTATACAGAGCACCTTGAGTCTGCAGGTCAGGGTACCTCCCTGGAACCCCATCTCTTCCTCCCCTTCTCTAGTCCTTCTTCCTACTTCTCCTTGCCCATCTTTGCTGCACAGCTCTCCTTGCCATCCTTGCTTTTCCCATCCTGCGCTATACCAGAAGTCTGCATCTACGAACAGGGACCATCTTTTGGCTTCTGACTGTATTTAGCCAATGGGAGGCTCCGTGGGAGATCCAGGAGTGGACAGCTCGGATGAAGCTCAGATACTTAGTCCTCTGGCTCCCTCCCCACCAATCTGTGTGCTAGTTGTGACCATGTCCTCTCCTAACTACAGTCATAGGCTGCCCTGGTTTCCTCAGTACCCCTCCCCCTGCTCCTTGCACTCTCTCCTGCTGATGCTGGCCTTAGCATGTCCCCCCACCCATCCCTGCCCATACTTCAACTATCACCCCCTTTTTTGATGCTTCTGTTTGGGTCACTTCCTTCCTGCCAGAATGTAACTAACTACTCAACCTACTTCAAAGAAGGATCCAGAAGAGATCTTCAGCTGTGCCATTTGGTTTGTCTGTTGTGGCCAGCGTGAGAGACTAGGCAGAATATATCTCCTTTATTTCCAAATGGTTGGTGCCTCCAGATCTGGCAAGTGGGGGGAAGGCAAAAGGTACATTTCATTCCCTTTGCACAGACTTTCCTAAACTAAATTCAGTCCATTGATAGAAACAAATGGAAACCCTACTGGGCAAGATTATTTTTTTTTTCCTCCAGTTAAAACATAAAACTAAAATGCCTTAAAAGTAAAACAGGGCTACCCAGGGGCCAAGGGCTCAGGAGGTGGTGGGGGCAAAGGGGCAGTTATGATCTCTGGAACACTGTTGAATGTTTGAAGTATATTTTCAAACAAGATACAGAACCGAGCAGACAGCTTTTTTCCTCTGTAGACACTCCACCAAATCTGAACTCCAGCAGCCGCCCCGACACAGCCTAGAAACTTCATGTCTGCTCATTGTCACCAAAACAGAATCAGGAAGCGATCTCCATACTCCGTCACCTCCAAACCCCACCTTAGCCCACCCCAACTAATATTTAAAGAGATAAATTGGAGACTCTGGCTTCCTTCATTGCTCCAGCTACTCTCGGGTGGTAGGAATGTGAGTCACCTTAAGTTCTAAAGATGGCCCATTTTAGAAGGTTCTCCCCCCCACCATGACTTCTGACTTTGCCTCTCAGAGTCAACCAATCTGAAACGTTCATTTCCTCATTTATTGGACGTCTCAATGGCGATTAACTATTTATGATGTCAAAGGTCCCTTTTCCACATCATGAAAGCTGCAGATTTTATAGCAAAATGGAGTTTTAATTGTGAGGAAAGGCACAGATACAAATTTGGAGTCAAATAAAATAGGCAGAGAGGCCTTTCTTAGGCTCTTTGATTTGGCGGTAGGAAGGACTAGGAGGGTGTTAAAGGGGCAGTGGTGTCACCTTGGCGTGTGATCCTGCAAACTAGACTTCTTGTTGGCAGAAAGGCTGGCGGCATTGGCATGTGCTGGGGCCAGGGAGCAGAACAGGGCTTGTGGTCTTCCCAGAGACTATGAGGAGCCCTCCTGTCTCATCCTCCACTGTATATAGATAGGGACTTAACCCCAGCAAGCACGATCCCTATGTGCCCACATCCTCCTACCTTTCGGTGCCCTCCCAGCTACCCCAACCCCTGGCTGGTCCAATATAATGATCAAGTTCTTAGACCACAGAGGAGGCTGTGGTAAGATGGAGTCTTGCCCAAGGAGGCAAGTGGGACTGAAAGCCAGCTAGCCCCTGCTCACTAGTCCCTGCCTTCTGACAGAGGGCCTGCTGGTATCCTAAGGAAGAGGTGCCATTTTGTTTGTAACAGGATACAATGTTCCTAGTCAGGGCAATTCCAGGTCCTATGTGAGGTAGCCTTGGGCTCTCTGAGCCTCAGCATCCTCACGGTAGATTGGAACAAATGTCACATCTCCCGAGGGTTTTAGAAATACTAAATGAGACAGTATGTCAACACAATGCCTGGCTCACAGAATCTAAACAAGAGTGGCATTATTGCTATTATTTGATTCTGAGACCCCCAATGCTATGCCAGCACACTATATTAGTTTCCTACAGTTTCCATAGCTGAGCCCCCCTAGACTGGCTGGTGTGAAACAAACGAGATCGTTATCTTCTTAGCTCTGAGGCTGGAAGTCTGCGGTCGTGCTGTAGATGGGGCTGGTTTCTCTGGAGGCATCCTGAGTCTGTCCTCTATACCTTCATATGGGATGAGTTCTCTTTTGGGGGACAGCTGCATGCCAGTTTCCTCTGAGACCGAAACATCCCATCCTGCAGGGATGCTCCTCCTTCGCTGGGAAGGTAAACAACTCCAAAGAGCTTCAGGAAGTCCCTGAAGCCGATCAGCTTCACTAGGCCCCCTCCCTGCCAAAGAAAGCAATCAAAGCTCAGGGCACCACTCAGATAAGCAGAGATAAGTTGCAAAGAAGATTCTGAGACCAGACCAGCTGCCTAGAAGAGGCAGAAGCCAGTCAAACTATGGAAGGGGTTTAGACCAATGGAGGCACCCGGAAAGGACACTTTGCTGCCGAGCCGCCTGCAGGCTGTTCAGTGCGCTCTGGTTCACTGCTTTGTGAGCTGTCACCCTTGCTGGGCTGGGTTTGGGTGACGCAGCTGTCTTTGAGTCATTTCTGCTCCTGTGAGTAATCCCAATTAATCTCATTGGTTCACCAAGTCGGGCTTTGGCGGGGTCTGTTCTTGGGTCTGTCATGGGCTGCCTCTCTGGGGTGAGTGGATGTGTGTAGCATCTCCTGGGGAAAAGTTTTGTCATAGAACAGGGGCAAAGCCTCATCACTGCAGCCAGACTTCAGCCTCTAGGGAGAGACCCTGTCATCAATGATACTATTAGGATCACAAAGTCATTTGAGGAAGAGTAGAAATGGGTTCAAGAACATCACCAGCTCTATGTGGTTCAGCCTAACCGAAGCCAAAGACGCAAAACCTAGTTGATAAAAACACATTACTTGGTCTCCGGAAAACCCAGAGGTGATGACACACATGCCTTTGGAAGGAATAAACTTAGCATCAGGCATGGAAGAGGGACGCCACGGAAATTGACATTAAGCAAATAGTCTTGACCCCAAAGCCAACCCTTCCCTGATTGCCTTGCCATGAAATAGACTGTGTAGATTAAATAAGCCAACCCATGGCAGAAGGGACAGGGGGCTCCCTCGACTTCAGCAGGTAGAGTCCAAGAGCCTATCTACACCCGGCCCAGAAGCAGCCCCATCTCAGCTAGTTTCCCCAGCTTCTTAACCAGCACTTAAATTAGGCTCGCCATTTGGTTCTTACTCTTGTTATTGCTCAGAAAACCAAGTATTTACTTGGGAACTTCCATTACCTAGTTTAAGGGGTCTTGGGGTCAGAGCAAGGGATGTGACAGGGATTGCCTATTTTCAGCAAGGTTGGCCATGTTTCTTAAGCAAACAGGGTCCTTTCCTGCCTCTACGTTTTTATATTTTCAGCAATTTTACCTAAAATACCCTCCCTTATCCCTTACTTTGCAAACTCCTATTCATCTATATCATCACATTCATCACATTTTTGTGTATGTGTCTTTCTTTAGAATACACACACACACACACACACACACACACACACATATATATGTATGTATAATCTCCTCTCAGGTGGACTCAACTCCTTTTAAAAAAATGACAGTAGTGGTGCGGGAGAATTGTCTGTATTCTGTCAATCATATTTTAATAAAACACTGATTGGCCCGGCAGGAAGTATAGGCGGGTCAACCAGACAGGAAGTAGAGGCAGGGCAATGAGAATAGGAGAAGGCTAGGGAGGAGGAAGCTCCCTCCTCCACTCCTGCCCAGATTACCGAAGAAGCAACATTGATCTGTCACACTGAGAAAGGTACTGAGCCATGTAGCTAACATAGATAATGATAGTGGATTAATATAAGTTACAAGGACTAATAAGTAGCCTGACCTAATGGGCCAATCAGCTTATAATCTTATGGAGTCCTGTGTGTAATTTTCTTTGGGGCTTGCCGGCTGTGGGGTACTGGGCGGGAACAGATACCCCAACAAGCCAGCCCTCATGTTACACAGTAGAGCTTGGGATGTAGATCAGTGGGAGAATAGACATTCAGTAGGCTTAAGGCTCTGGAGAATGGATGGATAGATGGATGGGTAAAGGATGAATGGATGGATGGTTGGATGGATGAGCCAATGGATAGGCAGACAAAAGCATAGACCAAGTGCTTGTTCTTCTTCTGAGACCAGGGATGGCATCTCAACCTCTCTCTACAGTTCCTTTCACGAGGGGGACCCTGCAGGTGTCAATGCAGGCAGTGCTCCGTGAAGAGGTGAGGCGGAAAACTCGGTTCAGATGGACTCCATCAAACCTGGATCGGACTTGGGGAGGCGGCCGCTGGGTGGTTCATTGTCAGCCCATTGAAAACACAGACCGGTTTGGGGGAAAGTTTCTAGGCAACAGTCCTTCCCCTTCCAGGTTTCCAGGCAACAATCATTCCAGTTCCAGGTGCACAACAAAGCTGAAGGTGTGAATGCACAGAAACTCCTTTACAGGGGAGAAGCGGTTGCCAGGGTGGGTTCTATAGCTAACAGGCCTAGAGTCTCGTGTGACCCCTACCCGAGATAGCATAGAGGCCAGCAGGCTATAAAGTACCTGTGACCTCTCCCCTGAGGAGGAATTTGTTTAACTGGGAGCTAGGGTGGGAGAATCTGGGGTAAAATTTCTTTGGGGTTTGGGTGAGGTCTACCTCGGCAGCAAAGGGTAGGTGAGGTCCACTGCCACAGATAGCAAAAAAAAAAAAAAAAAAAAAAAAAAGTCACCAGGTCACTAACAGTATCCATTGCCAGCTTTCTGGGTGGGAAAACAGGTGTTTTATCTCCTTCATGGAGGGCCATTCCTGGCTTCCCTAGCGATCTCTGGACAAAAAGACCTTTGTGGTTCCCACACTTTGCTGTCTCAAAGCCTTCATTTACTCGCCTATATCCTTAACAAGAAACTCCCTGGGCTCTGCTGAGGCCAGGCATGTGATAGGGATTAAGGGAATAGCCAGGAGCCACAACGTTCCATCCTGTGCAGTTTATGGGGCACGGTACAGGGTCAGCGTTGAGTAGACATCGTCTGGATGTTTCTGCAAAGGCAGGAAACTGCAGGGGTGGGTGTCAACCTTTGAGGAACCCACAGCTCCAAACACATCGACTTGGCATATGCACAATACATATTTACCATTCATGCGCTGACATTCTCCACGGAGACGGAGGCTATAAAAGGAAAAACGCAATACCCTGCCACACAAAAAAACGCAGTATTGACAAGATGGAAGGGCAACCGCCAAATACAATACCGAGCATTGCGTTTGGGCTATTTGTTAATTGACATCACCTCTCAAACTTTGTTGGAAAATAGCTTTGTGTTGAAAAGGGAAGAGTCTTATACTGTAATTATGCTAGACAAGCTTATAATAATTATAATAATTATCAACCGAGTGCCAATAATACTTTAAGAACTCCGCTGAGCATAAAGATCATATTAGTATCTAACAGGTATTTAGAATTAAGCTCTTTATAAAGGAAGGGGCACAGATTCGGCATTTTCTGGTTTTTAATAAGCAAAGATTCTGACAAAGAATTACCCTCCTTTTATTTTTCCTCTTAGAAACTTCTGTTTACATGAGAAACTTTCACCGAGTCCACCGAGAATTTAAGTGATGCATTTTCTTAACATACCTTGAATGATATACTCTGTTTTGAAAAATATGACATCTGATTAGATTTTTGGACCACTACGGGGTGGAGGATTTCGGGGGTAAACAGACAAGCAAGTTTTCATAGACATAGGGGTTGTACATTAGGCATAGAAAAGCCTCGGTTTGGTGTACCCTAGGGTTCCCCCTAGTGGACAGAAAAGGTACGTGCTAGGAAAAACAATTGCTAGTTACCTGAGGGGGTGTTGGTAGGTACCCGGGGCTTACAAGGTTTCACTCCCCCTTAGCATCTGTTCCTGAAAGGTGGAAGTATGTCGTCGATTAATAAGGTTTGATTTGCCCTTCTCTTTCTCTCTGGCATCCATAGTAATTAAGGTGTCTCCCCTGCAGGCTTCCAAATGCAGCATGAAATCACAGTGAGCCCCAGAACACAGCAGCATTAGGACCAAGGCTCTGTATATTACCGCCGCTCCGTTTCTGCAAGACGCGCCTCAAATGTCATCCTCATCTGGAACTATTTCGGTCCAAACTGATATGATGCCTTCATCCAAAACCTGAAAAAATTGGCTCCTTTTAGAGAATCTATTAATATCTGTGTTCGTGGTGGCCAAGTGCTGAAAAAAAAATGCTTTTGTATATTGTCCAAATTAGACTTGAGTGTTGGTCTTTGTCATGTTCTTTTTTTGTTGGTTGGTTTGTTTGTTTTGACAAGTACCCCCGGCCTGTCGTGCATGGTGTTTGTGATTTTACTCCAAACTCACTTGTTGGTTATAGCCATGCTGAAGGCAGGGAACTACGTGGTAGTGTGTGGGGGCGGGGCGAGTCGAGGAAACAGATATGAACGGCAGATCTTGTCTTCTAAAAAGCAGGCGGTCTCCTTTGACATATCAACTTTGTGTCTCCCTTCCTCCTCCTCCTCTCTTTTGAAGGTTGCTGCTCAAAGAACCATGGTAACTACGGTTCTATGCCCGGGAAGCTTTCACAGTCTTCTTCTGGGAACACAACCCGTTCTCCTCTTCCCAACCAGATGTGACTCGAGCATGGGCATCCAAGTGCTAAAGATCTGGTGTAGGTTACACCCACGGTTCCATTTCCAAGGGCTCTGACACTCTCTTCTTACCTCTGGGGGCATGGCGCATAGACAGACATGCAGCCAAAACACCCAGGAGAGAATAAGTAAATCTTTTTTTTTTAAAAGTTTTAAAAACTAACTAGAAATGAGACAAATGCATGTACCCCCTCCATGTTTGTGCATGTACACACACAGAAAGAGCCTCCTTGAAGCCCACCATGACTGAGCCATACGTTGTGGTCCTTCAAGTTAAGTCACTTGTCATTGGCACTCTTCTTGTGGCTGGTCTGGTCTCCCTACCCAATACCACCAGTGCCCTCGGGCACCTACTGTCACCCCTGCTGGTGCCCCTAAGACGGTACACCTGAGTTACCCTGACAAGAGCCATACATCTGCCTGCCTCCTGCCTTGATCACCCCACGTGATCAATTGCTTTTCTTGCGCTCTCCTTCCCGCCTCCCCCCGCCCCCCCCCGTAAGTTCCTAGTCTTCCCGGATCATACCACATTACACCCCAGCTCTCACAAAAGGCGGAAGTCATCTCAGACACTTCCCTCCATCCCGGTGACTAATCTCCCATGTGGTCCCGACGGGCGTAACAGACTCGAGTTCTCACATCCCAGATCCCTTCTGCTGTTTATTTTGAGATATGGTCTTGTGGTGTAGACCGGGGCTGGTCTTGAACTCGTGGCAATCCTTTCCGTGCCTCCCAAGGGCTGCTGGAGTTGCATTTATTTGCCGCCTGCTTGGCTCTCATCTATTTCAGCAGTCCCGCATCTTTAATTAGTCCCTTCTCTGATGGCAAGGAGACTGTTCTAGGTGGGGCTGTTTGGGATTCTGGTCCCCGGGTCCGTTAACCAGGGCATTTGTCTGGTTTTTCATCGTCTTTTTAAATGGCAGGTCTACTAGATTACTTCCTGTTGCACTTCCTGCTGAAGATCCTTCAACCGTTCTTTATTGTTTCCTCGTCTTTTCATGCCATGGCCCTCTCAGGACCCCACCCTGGTTGGCATCATGCTCAGACACCCAGACAGGATCACTAGTGACTGAGGCTGAGAGGCCTAAAGGGTCTGTGTGGCCAGGGTCTCCTCAGCACGCTCAAGGCTAGACGGAACCAACATTTACCATGCAGCCCACCTTCTGGGAAGCTGTGACTTCGAGACCACAGTGTGTCTCAGAGGGGACACTTAGGGGATACACCAGACCCTGCCTGTCTGTCTTTGCCACACTGTTTTTTCTATCCCTTCATGTGCTCCTATGCTGGGACTCGAACTCCAGCTAGCTGCAGAGGAGCTGGGTGGACAGGCCAACTCTAATAGGGATCTACTAGCCTAGGGTGATGTGCTCTGTCTAAGGTAGGAGCTTGATGCTGGGTGTCTGTGGGATGTCACAAGAAATGGAAACAGCGGGTAGATGGGAGGAGCAAGCACACGCTCCCCAGACAGATGACACTTGTGGCATTTGCCTGAGCCAGAGGGAAGGAGTTTCCCCTGCCTTTATATTAAAGAAGAAATTCAGAAAGAAAGAAAAAAAAAGAGAGAAGTTTCTCAAAGATACTCTCCTGGGGACTTCCCAGAATGGCTGGAGGTTGACGGGAGGAAACGGTTAAATCCTAGAGGGTGGCAGCTTGTGTTAGTCCACCAGTAAGGCTTAGAGCTATCTTCTGTGATCTAGCTGGTGCTCACCGAGGAGACCTGGGAAACGGTTTGGGGAAGCAGTTTGAGCGGGTGGACTTGCAGCCATAAGGGAAAAAAGAAAGCCTGTGCCTATAGCGTCGGCAAGCAGGGGTTAATCCTCCCCAACACGAGGAGCCTAGTCGTCAGTCCTGGTTGCTATTCAGCGTTACTATCCAAGAGCCCCCGGGCTCTTATTATCTTTCCGCTGTCATGAGAGAGCTACTACAGCTGCACGCATCGTGTGAATTTTCCAGACAAGAAAGGAAAGGCTTAACTTTCTCCCTTCAAGAAGCTGTCCCTTCACGTCTGAGGAAGTCTCTCTGCGGACTTCCCCTTCTCTCTCCCGGACTGCGGCGCACGCGGTCATGTGCCCACCTGACGTCACAAACTGGCAAAGGGAAATGGGACGACCACCGTCGGCTCAGGAGCCCCGGGGGCAGGGTAGAGAGTCTGCCTTCCTTGGCTTTAGGCTGGATACAAAGCTCTGGTTCTTTAAGCAGGGAGGAAGAGAGAAGGGAAGAAATGTGGGTCGAAACCTAAAGAGCTTCCATGTACTGCTCCGATGTGGACAGATTCGGGGCTCTCTAGACTAGAAGATGGCTACTTTCCTCTCCCCCTTGACAAAGTCCAACTCATTTTTGGGGTTCTGCCCCTAGCATTCCCCTCTCCCCCCCTCCACCCCCGAGAGGGTTTCTCTGTGTTGCCTTGGCTGTCCTGGAACTAGCTCTTGTAGACCAGGCTGGCCTCGAACTCACGGAGATCCGCTTGCCTCTGCCTCCCGAGTGCTGGGATTAAAGGTATGTGCCACCACCGCCCGGCTGCATTTTTATTTTTTAACGACACCCATCGTGAAGAGTTGATTATCCCTCTGGCCTCTCCGCTTCACAACCCTGCAATCATCTTCATTGCCGTGTTTGTGTGGTGCACCCCAAGCCCCAGAACTCCTTAAAGGAAGTGATATGATATTTTCCACTACTGTCTAGTGTGATGCCTGTTGCCTAACACATAGCAAGTGTTCAGAGCTTGGAGAATAGATGGGGCAGAAACAAATGCAAAGTGGGAGGGGGGAAAAAAGAGCATGTTTGCCCTGGCATCTCCAAGCATGAAGGCCCACTAACTATGCAGAGGAGATGGATAGTCAATGCAGCCCTTCCTACTTAAGGAGGCTCTATTGTCTGCCAAGCACCGGGGGCAATACAAGAGAAGGTTCATGGAGGTATGTTTGCACGCAAAGATAACTAACAATACAAAATAGCTCCTGATAAGTGTCTCATTAGAGCTACAGGAGTGCCGTGGCAGGGGAGGAGGGCGTTGGAACACGGACGGAATGGTAATTAAAAGCCACGGGTATTCTAAAACTTAATTAATCACCGCTGCAGCCTCCACCCATCTTTCAGCTTCTTAGCAATATCGGAGAATGATCAGATTTGAATGTCCTTCCCTCTGGTTGCCCTGCCTATAGGACACCTGTGGCCCAGTAGCAAAAGAACCGCATGGTAACGAGCCAGGGAGACGCCACAGAGAAGGGGGAGCCTTGATAACGCATCACCGAGACAGTCAGCTCTCGACTAGCTTGAGGCTGAGGCCATTTCTAACCAGGCATTAGAAGATCAAATCAGTTGTGAAATGATTCTCTCTTGCACAATGGGACTGCATGTGAGATTTCTGTTAAGGTGTTATTGGAAGAGAGGTAACTAAGGCCACATGAAAGGCATAGAGAAGTTCACTAAATGGACCGTTGTGTAGATCTGTTGCTGAATGGGAGATCTGGTTTTGCAGTGGGACCATCTGAGGGTCACTTAAAGCAATGGGAACGACACTGGGAATCTGCTAAGTTAGGGAAGTATGGGGCCCTCTGGCAGTCTGGTAAAATCCCTGGGGTTCCATGTCCCTTCAGTCTAATGAAACCACAAACTCTAGGTTCAATGAGAAACTCAGTATCAACAGTAAAGGGGAAGGGAATAGAGGAAGGTACCCAAAGATGGCCACATGCACGCCTATGAACACACACACACACACACACACACACACACACACACACAAAGACCAGTGACATTTGTGCTGCTACAGCAACTGTAAACAACACAATCTAGCAGCAGGATTGATCATTAGTGCTGATCCTAGGTAACACTAAGTGCTGATCCTAGGAAGCACTAAGTACTGATCCTAGGAAGCACTAAGTACTGATTCTAGGAAGCACTAAGTACCCCTTGAAGTCTGCAGCCACTCACGTGACTGACGTGAGGCGATTCATCTTGATAGCAAGGTCACAGGTGCTGCTTGCTGTACCTCTGCCCATTGTTGCCTGCATTTGTCATTGCAGGAAAAGCTAAATTTCAGCTCGTGGTTACTCTACTAGTCAATGTTCTCTAGAGGAACAGAACCAATAGGTGCTCCCCCCACACATACTTATTAAGTCTTTAAAATACAACAGCAGAATCACACCTAAGAGTTGAGATCCTGAAGTTCCTTGGTCCTGGAGGTTGGGTGCCTCAGCAGTTGGAGTAGTCCCCCAATGGCTGTCACTTCCCTGGGTGCGGGGCGGGTGCCCATCAACCAGTAGTCATCCCTGCCCCAAGACGGGGTACCCCAGCAATCCCTATTTGGCACCAGCAGATCGGAAGCTCCTGGAGAGCCGTGGGGTCCTTAGTCCACAATTCCGCAACCTGTGAAGGGTTCAGCAGCAGTAGCGACCACAGGGCAAAGGAGCTCAGAGAAAGAGGAAAAGGCCAAGAGGCAAGAGGCACAATGGTCCTCCGCCTGCCATGCTCGCTCTTTTTACGTGGGATGCTTCCAGAAGGTGGGGCCCGCAATTGCGTGGGTCTTGCTGCATCTACCGAGGCAACTGGGATGCTCTTCAGGTGAGGCTCCCCATTCGGGAATCCCAATCTGTGGCGAGCTGACATTGAGCCCAACTGTTA